CTCTCTTTATTTCTCTCACTCGCGCTCCTCTCTCTCTGTCTCCTTCTCTCGCTCTCTCGCGCTCCCTCTGTCTATCTCTCACTGTCGCTCCTCTCGCTCGCTCCTCTCTCTCTCTCTCTCTCTCTCTCGCTCTCTCTGTCTCCTCTCGCTCTCTCTGTCTCCTTCTCTCGCTCTCTCGCGCTCCCTCTGTCTATCTCTCACTGTCGCTCCTCTCACTCGCTCCTCTCTCTCTCTCGCTCTCTCGCGCTCCCTCTCTCTTTCTATCTCTCTTTCTCGCTTTCTTTCTCACTCTCTCTCTTTCTCTCTCTCTCTCTTAAGTTCTCTCTCCCCCTCTCCTCGGTATTTTCTCTCTCGCCCCCTCACCTCGCTTCCTTTCTTCTCTCCCCCTCTCCTGCCCTCCCCCACTTCTCTCACTCACTGTACTACTACTCAGCAGGCTATTATGAACTGCATGACTGCATCTCTGTCGATTCGCCTGACTGACTGCCTCTCTCTCTCTCTCTCTCTCTCCGTTCGAACCCGCACGTCTGTGTCTGGTGCACATATACAGCATGTTGTGGAGAGGGAGGGGGTACCATGCGGGAGAGAGAGGAAGAAAAGGAGAGTCGGGAGAGAGTGAAAGAGAGGAAGAGGTTAGGGAAATGGGGGAGCGGGAGGAAGAGAGACGGAGAATCGAAGAGGAGATGAAGCATGAGATAGAGAGATAAAGAGAGGGAGAAGAGGAGGGAGGAGAGAGAAGAGAGACGGAGAATCGAAGAGGAGATGAAGCATGAGATAGAGAGATAAAGAGAGGGAGAAGAGGAGGGAGGAGAGAGAGGAAGTAAGAGAGTAGTCTTTGATTTTTCTTTTTTCGATATTTCAGCTCTGGCGCGCAATTTTTTAATGATTTTTTTGTCTGGTGCGCCAGCAAGCATATATTTATTGAGCTATTCTTACATCCATCTGCCCTCTGTTATCCATTCATTTATTTATTCATCCAGCCATTTATGCATGCATCCATCCATCCATCCATCCACCCATCGATCTATCGATCTATCCATTCATCCGTCCGTCCATCCATCCATCCATCCATCCATCCGTCCGTCCATCCCTCCGTCCGCCCGTCCGTCCGTCCGTCCGTCCGTCCGTTCGTCCGTCGTCCGTTCGTTCGTCCGTCGTGTGCGTGTGCACGTGTGGTCGCTGTGCGTCGTGTGTGTGTGATGGCGTGCTGGCGTGTGTTGTGGTGTAATTGTGTTGCGTACGTGCAACGCGAGAGAGAGGAGAGAGAGAGAGAGTACGAGCAGATCTAAGCTGGTTTAAACTATTTTCAACTTTGGCTGTTGAAAGAAGTGACGGACTTTGATAAAATTTTCAACTTAATCGACGCCGAACATCGGCATTTTAGTTTGGTGTACATTGTAAAAGTTGAACGCTTTAATTATTTAACTAGTTGATATCAACTAGTTGAGAGATTATAACATGTTCTGTCAACTTTTGGTCAGCGACTTTATCAAATTTTTGCTTTGCAGCCACTCAGATAACAGCACATGCAGGGAGGGATAGTGTCCCTCCGCACCTGCGCGCGCGGCGTTGCTTTGCCCTCTTCGGGCGGCAGGACTGGCTAGCACCGTGGCGGCGATTTATACATGCAAATGCGTATTCACAATTTCACATCGCCCCGCGCGCGCACTAAGGTTAAAATGTCGAAACCATATCTACGGTCGAAACATTTTCCCGACTCGCGTCGAATATATGTAAAACTGGCCTTGAGCATCGTATGGGAAAGGTTGATAAAAACGTTGTAAATAGTTCATAATTTTGCAATTCGTTAAAGTTGCTTAGTGTACCAAGCCCAGTATACCGTGCTCGATATAAAAGTCAGGTGCGAATTTCAGAAGAGAGGTGGAGAAAGAGAGGGAAATTTCCCTGCTCGAATCGGGTAAACCCTTTCTCGCCTCTCTCTTTAGTTAGGGCGAGAGAGTGCACGAGAGAAAGGGCGGAGAGAGGCAGAAGATCAAGAAGGATAGAAAAAGAGCGAGAGAATGGATAGAGAGAAAAGAGAGAGAGAGAGATTAAAGATGAGAGGAAAGAGAGAGAGAGAGAGAAGAGATGATGAGAGAGAGAAATAGTAATGAGCATGAGAAGTACCAATGGAAAGAGAGAAGTAAGAGTCGGGAGAGCGCGAGAGAAAAGAGAGGGAAGAGAACGGAGAGAGCGCGAGAGAAGAGGTGGAGTAGAAAAGAAAATAGGAAGAGAGAAAAGCGATCGAGAGCGAGAGATGAGGAGAGATGAGAAGAAGGAAACAGAGATCATAAGGAGAATAGGGGAGACAACAAGTAATGATGGATGAATGGACGGCACGGACCGGATGGATGGGTGGATGGGTGATGGATGGATGGAGCGATGGATGGGATGGCTGGATGGGTGGATGGATGGATGGATGGATGGATGGATGGATGGGTGGAATGGAATGGATGGGCATGGATGGATGGATGGAATGGATGGATGGATGGATGGATGGATGGATTGGATAGATGGCATGGAATGGATGAATGATGGAGATGATTGGATGATGGATGGATGGATGGATGGATGGATGGATTGGATGGGTGGATTTGGATGGATCGCATGGATGGATTGGATGGCATGGATGGAATGGACTGGATGGATGGTGGATGATGCCATTTCCTTTCTTTTTTTAAATTGTAGGTATGTTAAAGGTACATCAATCTGATTTTATCATATATTTGAAACCCAAATTTTTTTTAACAAATATTGGATATATGACCTGCCATATAAAACAGTAATTTTCGTTTAACTGTAAATACATCCTCAACTAAAAGTGAGAGATAAATGGTTAAACCGCATCCTCAATCAGACCCCGACTCAAACGTCTGGCAGGACGAGTAATAGCTAGTTTTAGTGTGTCGTTCTGTCATGGGAACATCCGGGGTCGAACATTTAGCCCCTGGAATACGTCTTGTCCGGCGAAAAAGATGTTAGTTATGTGGAGATTCTCGGGGGTTCACGTACAGGAGTAATAGACTAGATCGGGACTAAATAGATAAACTCACGTATAGAGAGAAATAACGATATATTGACTAGAGAAAGGATACAGATATAGATTAACATAAATATACATCAACACGGAGCAATGCCATGTTGGATCGACTGCTGCTGCCCGCCTGTCCGGGCGAAAACGAGGAATGTCGCCTTAGGAAGGAGTTACGGCGTGACGCAATAGATCGTAGCCGGCACGCGGCGTTACACAATGAGTGTCCTAACCAATGAGTTCCACCACGTACGCGGCGGTACGATTGCGCAACGCCCTGAGGGGGGTGCTGCTGAGCTGAGTATAAAAGGAGGCTGTGAATTCGCACCTAGAGGCAGTTATTTTTCAGGTCTAGGTAGAGGAAAAGAAAGAATGAAGGAGAAGAAGGAAGAGGCAGTTTAGGTAAGGTCGGCAGGGAAGAGGAACAGAAGGAGGAGAGCCAGCCGAGGACGAGGGAAAGAGAAGAGGCGAGTCTTTGGTAGCAGGTCCCCAAGGAGGAACGAAGCAGAAGGAGACAAGCACCGAGGACGAAGACGAAGAAGGGCGGGAGAGAGAGGCAAGAGCCGAACGAGAAGGGAAAGAGGACGTTATATTTCAGGGATAGGTTCTAGAGGTTGAAGACGCGGAGAGGAAAGAGAGGGAGGAAGAAATAGAAGGAGGAGAGAGGAGAGACGCACAGCTATTTCAGGTAGGTGTAACCAGAGCCGAACGGAGAGGGGAAATAAACGGGCGAAGAACGCGTTCTGGCCAGAGCTAGGAGCGACTCGAGGAGACACCTGGGAGACGGCTTGGGATCCGGCGCAAAGCAGGACGATAACGTGAGGGAAGAAGAAGGACGAAGCCGGCGACGCATGCAGTATCCCAGAGATCGATAGAAAGACGCTGCATATCACGAATCAGGGGGAAATCAATTTAATTGTACACGTAGTAACTGGCTAATAAAAGCTCTATACCGTATCGTTAACCGCAGCTCACGTGTTCTGTTGCTGTCACAGGTGTTATCGGCTACGTAGCATCACCAGCTCTGTCTAAACATCGACAAGAGCGGACACTGATCCCACAACTGGCACGCGTACAACAAACGTCTGTCGAACGTAGGCGCCTACCCAGCGCACTACGTTTCATATATTGTGTGGTGCGGTGCGTGCGTGCGCACAGTGTGTGAACGAGCGTTGGCAAATGTCTGTCCGTGACCGGTGGTCACAACCCAGCATCAAACCCACATTCTGTAAACAGCGCTAAATGACGTACGGCTATGTCTGAGCTAGTGTG